GCGGCTTCCGCCGAGTCCAGCCGAGCGCCGTCCTGCCCGCCCGCCCAGCGTCCGCCAGCCAAAACAGCGCGGCATCCGCCTCTCGAGCCGGCGCCGCGTCCCCCGACCGCAAACCTCCAGCTCTCAGCGCGTCGTCGGTCGCACGACTGGGATGACCCGGTTCTGTGCTGGGGCGGGGTGGTGGTGGGGGGGTGGGGGTGGCGGTAGGTGGGTGGGCCATCTGGGATGCCCGTCTGGATTGGTCTGTCCGTGAGCCGGGCATGAGTATCGGCTTCCGCCGGCGGTATTGGCGAGCACAGACCGCTGTGGAGCCCATCAGTCGACACACCCGTCCCGACACGCCACGATTGTACATATCCGCGGCCGTCAGAGGGCCCGCCCTGGCGGAGGGGACGGACGCTGGCCGGCCCCGGCCGTGGCGGCGCGGCGAGAGGGCGGCCGTCGACCATTTCTTGGCGAGCGTGACCTTGGCAGGGTAGCTCGGCCCGGTACCGGGGCTGGCGACCACACAGGGCGGCAGAGGAGAGCCCTCTTGCCCTCAGACGGTCGGGGAGAATGCAGGAGAGACCCTGTCCGGCCTCAGACCTCCGCAGCGGACGCAGGGGAGACCCGGTCCGGCCCCAGACCTCCGCAGAGGACGCAGGGGAGACGCCGTCCAGCCATGAACGTACCACAGGAGAGGCAGGAGGCCCCGCCAGGCTCCAGACTCACCACAGAGGAGACCTCGAGGAGGCCCGGCAAGGAGCCAGATGATTCAGAGAACATCACAACACGTAACCGTGACAAATGTTGCAACTGATCAACCGGTGAGGGGGAGAGAGCTGTGAGCCGGTGACCGGCAGCCAGCGAAAGGGAGAGGAGGAAAGGGAAGGGACGATCTGGCACTGAGATGTCTCAGAACTGGTGCAGCCAGCTGGAGGCTACGGGGGCGCGGGGGGGGGGGGGCGCGGGGACACCAGCAGCGGCTAGTCTATGGCGACCTGACTGAACAGCGCGCACTCCCAGCGTGGCGTCTCCAGTCTGTGGCGACCTGACTGAACAGCGCGCACTCCCAGCGTGGCGTCTCCAGAGGCCGGCACATGGGTCGGCCTGATCAGCCGGCGCCTGTCATCGCTGGCCGCCATCGGCGGCGGATATGACGGCGGGGTGCTGCATCCCAGGCCAGCGCCGGCCCGTTAGCGCGGCCAAACCGGTCCACCGGGCCAGTCAGGTGCAAGGTGGGGTGACGTCACCCCAATGAACCGGTCCTGGAGCCGTCACCAGACCGCACTCCTGCACCAGGCCGAACCAGGCCGGGCGGCGAGGAATTGAACCAGACGTCAGGTGATCAGGCTGGGTGTCGTGTGACTAGACCGGACGTCCAGTAATGAGGACGGTCGTAAAACGGCCGTGTGCAAATAACCAGAACAGTGTAAAATGATCTGTCCGGGCGTAAGGTGATGAGACCACTACAGTATGCCAACTCGTAAAAAGCTTAGAAATGCATTTTTCTATCTAGCTCGAGCCCCCCCCCCCCCCCGTCCCACCGAACATTGAGAGGGAAGTGGCCAGATCCGGGGGCAAGCATTGCTAAGAAGAAACACATTTTTGGGGGGGGTGTGTTTTGGAGTGGGCTTTGATATTTTCTCTTCCTCAGCCCACCACCCGTTCCCAACTTAATTTGCTGCAAATGTGTTCGGCAAATATCCGACGGAGACAGAAATCAGCGGAAAATGTAATCTAGCGATACATAGGAGACCAAAATTACGAAAAGAGCCCAAAACTGAGAGTCCGAAATCGTGCGCAAAATGCGTCATGTTCCCTTAAAATATTACATTTTGACACTCTGGGCCGGTGTTCAGTGCTTAAACCCGTCGGCAGCCAACCATCAGATGTGCGAAGTGACCAGCACGGAAGTGGAGTAATGACAAAGCGTAAAGTGATCAGAACGGGCATCAAATTACGCCAGGTGTGCAGTGGTGACACCAGCGTTAAATGATTGGACCTGGCGTAGGGTAATCAGAATTCGCGCCAAGGACAAATGTCCGTGCGACCAATGGCAAAGTATGATTTAGAGAACACGCACTAGGCTATCTGTCTGTTTGTGGTTTTGTGTTCTAGAACATCTGGCGCTGCATCGGCGATGGCGGTTTGGCCCCATGGCCGATGGGCCAGACGAAAACGCCCATAGCCCCTGTATCGGCCATGGCTGGTTTGGCCAAACCGACCCCCAGTCACACACTAGGAAAGGTGGCAAGACTAACAAAGCTGGCCATGGTTACTGATTGCACCATCATTAATTCTCACTACAGATCTGGCTAATGCTAGACGTCAGTCCGCTGAAATCACGACACCTGTATCATCATGCAAGGCCCCTTCGGAGAGCCAGCCTTTCGGGGCGGCTTAGTTTCCAGCTACTTTTGCTTGCATGAGTTCATGAGGATGCAGCGATGACAGCCTCCCCTTCCAACACGGCCGAATGCTGGCGTTCAGTGGAATTCCGTTCCATGAAAGCAATTCGCATCGCCGAGGTCTCACATCTCCACATAATCCAAATCGTGTCGGACAGGCCGGCCCGCGGGTACCTGCCCCCACTGCGTGCCAAACAGGCTGGGCAGCGGACAGATTCTGGCATTCGCTCAGCCCAGTGACGTCAGTTCCCTTCAAAACACCGTCCCCGAGCGTCATAGTGGCAGCAGCAGTGGGAGGCGAGGCAGCGGCGACGGCGGCAGTGGGAGGCGAGGCAGCAGCGACGGCAGCGGTGGCAGAGGCGATGACAGTTGGGGTCTACCACAACAATGAGGCCGGCAGCAGGAGAACAGACGGCAGCGGGGGCAGTGGCGGCGGGGCTTCAGCTTGCGATCCACCCAGGTTACCGGCCGCTGCCGCTGCCGCTGCCACCAGCCGCATCTGCCTCCTCACGCGGTCGGGTCACACGCCGCCCGGCCGCTGGCCGACGCGCCTATAGTTAGTCCGCTAATACGACAGCCGCCAAGAGAGGCGTCTTATTTTTGGCAGCGACGCGTCGCCGTGTGCGAGCGAGTGCCTCACGCGCGGCCGGCCTGATTCGACCGCAGACAAAACAGCGGTCGGGGCGGGGCGCGGCAGGGCCGCCGGACAGCTGGCCCTGCCGCGCGGTCAACACCTGAGGGGAAGGTCAGGGCATGTGGCCCGCCTCTGGCAGGTGTGAAGGGACTCACAGACACCATCTGTTGCGCTGAACACAGTGAGTCACCGGTTCACGGCAGGGTCATGGCGGACCCAGTTGTCCAGACAGGGTTAGCAGTGGGTTATAGCGGGACGGGTGTCCAGACAGGGCTAGCAGTGGGTTGTGCCGGGGTCAGATGCCCGGACAGGGTTAGCAGTGCATTTTGGCTTACCCAGTTGTCCAGACAGGTTAACAGGGGATTGTGGCGGGGTCAGATGTCCAGACATGGCTAGTAGTGGATTATGGCGAGGTCGGGTGTCCCAGACAGTGTTAGCAGTGCACTATGGCTTACCCAGCTGTCCAGACAGCGTTAGCAGGGGATTATGGCGGGGCCGAGTGTCCAGACAGGGTTAGCAGTGGATTGTGGCGAGGTCAAATGCCCAGACAGGGTTAGCAGTGGATTGCGACGGGGTCAGATGCCTAGATAGGGTTAGCGGCAAACTATGGCGGGGCCAGTTGTCCAGATAGGGTTAGCAGTGGATCATGGCAGGATCAGGTGTCCAGACAGGGTTAGCAGTGGACTATGACAGCGTCAGGTGTTCAGACAGGGTTTACAGGCGGATCACAGCGGTAACCGGCACCCGGACAGAGTTAATAGATGGGTCAAAGCGCGACCCTATGTCCACGAGGCACATTCCACACAGCCGGGGAGCGGCAGACGGTGGTGACCGGCTGGTGGAGAGGGGGGGGGGGGGGGGGTGGGGGGGGGGGGGGGGGGGGGGGGGGGGGGGGGGGGGGGGGGGGGGGGGGGGGGGGGGGGGGGGGGGGGGGGGGTGGGGGGGGGGGGGGGGGGGGGGGGGGGGGGGGGGGGGGGGGGGGGGGGGGGGGGGGGGGGTGGGGGGGGGGGGGGTGGGGGGGGGGGGGGGGGGGGGGGGGGGGGGGGGGGGGGGGGGGGGGGGGGGGGGGGGGGGGAGGGGGGGGGGGGGGGGGGGGGGGGGGGGGGGGGGGGGGGGGGGGGTGGAACAGGAGGAGCAGCCGACCGGGCGGGTCCCGCACGAGGTCTATACACAGTCCGGCAGGGCCGACGGTCGGGCCGTAGCGCCGGTCCCTGCTGGCAGCCGGCGGTGGGCGTTGAAGTCCTCTCACGAAATAAAAACCAACTGTCCCTGTCGCGGGCGGCGCGCGCCGCGACCACTTACGGCGGCGCAACGCCACAAGTAGACGGGCCAGAGACGAAGGGAGAGAGGAGAAGAGAGAGAGCGGGAGCACGCAGGGGATCGCTTCATACCACGACGGACTTCGGATTATCCCCACTGTGCGCCCGCCGTGCGGACGGCGCGCTGAGATAGAGCAGCGTTCCTCTGTCCACCAACTGTCATGTGCCGCATTCCCCAACATAGACGCGGCGTTGATGTTGTTTGGTAAGGCGGGCTCAGCACAACATTTATTCAACAAAGGGTGCCTCACTCCAACATAGGCGCGGTGTTTGTGATGTTGGGGAGGCGGGCTCGGCACAATATTTATCAACAAGGGGACCCCAAATCAGCTTTCGTTCTAGGTTTGTGCCACTTTATTAAGCCATTTCGGGACGTTCATGGCCACTTGCTTTCCCTGATTTTTGTGTGTGTGGTGGTTCTGGGCGTTTGAGGGCCTGGAAAAAGACGAATGCAGGAATTGCGGAATGTGTTAAAATACAACGTCCATTCGTTATTCTTTTTCATGCTTTGTTATTTTCATCAATCGCGTCAGTTTTACCACACGTTCGGAGTTAACACCGTTTTTGTTCCGAAACTCAGCAGGTATCATTCCGCTAGTTTTTCGCGCAGTTGGAAAATGGAAATGAATATCGAGATGAATTCAATAGAACACTTACCATTAGACGAATAATCCAAATTGTCAATCGAAGACCTTCTCCGGGTAAACCGGGACGGGTCGATGCGTGGTCGCACAAATGACTAGTTGGATGGCGTAGCAGGTTTTCTAGCTTGATTTTTGTCTATATTCCAGCAGCCAACCTCTGATCTTCAACCCAGAGATCAGCACGGAAAGCACGTCACGCGTGAAAAGAAACTACCAATGCCCCCCGCAATTCAGGGTTGCTGCGCCCAAGCCCGGCCGGCCCCCTCACCGCACCGGCGCACTCAGCTGACTGCCGCCGCCGCGCACTGCTGCCGCCGCCGCCGCCGCCGCCGCTTCC